AAAGAAATAAATCACAATTCCCGGTATTTTCAACTATTTCTTTATAAAATAAATTATGTACTCTTTTGATAACTTGTTTATAAATTAAAAACTACCGGTAATTCAATGACAAATTCCCCAATGGGTTTACATTATATACCGGTAATAAAATATACCTACCTGTAGATATTTTTTCTCATAAACCTCTAGTTTACTTTTAGGGATAAAAAATCTTCTCCTGACTTCCTTTTTTAATAACTTTATTTAAAAAAAAAATATTTTAACTACATTTCTGTGAATATACAGGTCTCTGAAAATATTATTTAACTAAAATAATAATAACTTATCAAAATATTATAAGAAATCCTTGCTATTTTAATAGTTTAAATTCCTCTCTGCTGCAATTTAACAAAACAACTGGGAGTCTGCAAATTCAGAAGACACAAGGGGGCGGAGCTATTATGTCACTCAGAACTTCTTTCACACATGAGAGAACAAAACAGTCCCAGAAAGCAGTCCCAGGGACAGCTGGGACTACTTTTTAGAGCAGTCCCATAGCGGTCCCAGAGCAGTCCCACAGCGGTCCACAGCAGTCCCAAAGCAGTCCCTGGGACTGCTTGGGTGTCAGGTTGGGTCTGGTCGGTACTGCATTACTTTATTGGATAATGGCTTTATTTTTTAACTTAGAAATTTCATTTAAGGTTTTTTTGTAATAATTGCAATAAATTGATCTATTTTCGCATTATTGTTTTTTTAATATAACAAAGAAAAAGCAGGGATAAATTGCATGATAGGCTGTGGACTTAGCCATTACGCTATGAGTACTCTAAATCTCGTGTGAAGTGCGCATGCGTGAGATAAATCGGCAGTTTTAAAAAAAGGCTCCGAATATTTTTCAACTTTTTTCGTTTTTAAATCGTTTTAAGCCAGTGAAATATTGGGATTTTGTGTCGTATATCCATCGGAAAGATGATGTTCGGGAATGGAGCCTGGAACCGTGATGAAGATGAAGAAAAGAAAGAATAAGAATGTAAACATCAGTGGTTAGAGTGAACAGAAAATTCGTGTGAGTACTAATCAAGCTTCGATACCAAGAATCCATAGTATGGATTCCAAAATGCTCAAATCCATGCAAGTATATGCAATCCTGCCATTATATAATACTCAACACCTAATGCAAGTTCAAATTATCAAGGAACGGTCAAATCAATCAGTTCAACCCGTATGGGCCCCCAGGTCCTCAAGGACAGTTCGCTGGTTTTGTCTCACCAATAGCCAGTCAACAGAATCAACAACAATTCGATATACGTGACGCTCTGAAAGCTTTGACAGATAAATTGGAAAACATGTCAAACAAACTGAACAAACTGGACCTAATTGACAAAAGATTAGGGGAATTAGGAAAAAATGTGATAACCACAAACTATGAGCTGACGAAAATGAAAGCTAAAATGGGTGACATGGACGAGGGCCTGCATTTCTTAAGCAAACAATATGAAGATCAACGTAGCGAAGTTAAACAAATAAAAAACTCGGTGGTCCAGATCAGGAAAAGATCAGAGGTCATAGTTGAAGAGAAAAAGACTGTAATATCTGAGCTCCAGACAGTGAAAAACAATCTATTTGACCTGAATGAACGACACCTTGATCTTCAAATGCGCAAAATGCGGGATCCTAGAAGCTCAAGAAGAAGATACAGAGGCAGTTTTGAAAGAATTTATCCACACTGTAATGGGAATCGAGGAGGAAATGCAGTTTCACAGAGTACACAGTCTTGGGAGGAAAATTCTAAATAAACACCGCCCAATTATAGCAAAATTTGTGTTATTTAAAGAACGCGAGAGACTAAGAAGAGAGGCCCCCGCCACGTTAGTTGGAAAACCATTTGGGGTCAATGAACAATTTTCAAAAGCTATAAATGACAGAAGGAAACTACTTTACCCACACTACAAACAAGCAAAGCGAGAAAACAGAAAAGCGGTGATGGTCGCGGATAAGCTTTTTGTCGATAACGTTAGAGTCTATCCATCAGAAACTGCCCGATGACAGGCTGGTACCAAACCGAAGCCAGTATGCAACCACCATCCCCATGGAATCCTCTTCTAAATACAGATCAAATCTATGCCTGAACCTCACGCCGCAATCCGCCAGCAAACCAGATTTACGCGTTGCGAACCCGGAAGACTGGGAATACCATTGAGAGCAAAACACCGAATGTGTAAACATTGTAAATACTGACAACGACTCTCTCACCATTCCAGCAATAAGAAGTAATTCAGTATTAAAAATTATTAGTTTGAATGTTTGTGGGCTCTTATCTAAACTTCAAATTGTATTTATTGAATTTATCAACCAGTATGATATTGTTTGTTAAACAGAAGCAAAAACTGATGAAGCGGACCATATCGATATTTCTAATTATACAGTATTTGGTAAACATAGGTCAGAATTAGCAATACTGAAATCTGGTGGCATTATAGTATATATTCGAGATACTCTAGCGAAATATGCTACTGTAATTAATAACGAATGTGACAATGTACTCTGGACTAAAATTGCAAGTAAAATATTGGTAACATAGATGATTTGATAATAGGAACTGTTTATATACCACTTTCAAATTCTCGCTTTTCCTCTGTTGAAATTTTTGATGCACTTGAAAGAGAAATATCAAACATAGCAATTGCAAATAAATGCATATGCTTAGTTGGTGATTTCAATAGTAGAGTGTCAACTGGTAAAGATTTTACTTGAAGAGTTTGTTGATGTAAACCTATTGGAAAAATACAATTTAACTGTCGTGAGAAAATCTAAAGATATAGTTATTAATCAATATGGAAGAAGACTCCTAGATGTTTGTAAACAGTGTACTATTTTTATACTTAGTGGTAGATCAAGAGGTGATAGTGATGGGGAATTAACTTGTAAACAAACCAGTGTTGTGGATTATTGTATAGCCAATATTGATTTTATAAAATATGCGTCAGATTCCAAGATACTACAATTTTGCACACTTTTTTCAGATGTGCATAATCCTATTGAAGTTTCATTAAGGATGACTTTTACTCAGGTTTCAGAAATCAGAGAGGAAATTTTATAAAGTATAAAATATCAAATCAAGAATTGTTCTAAATCGATAAAATAACTACGTTTTATCTCAATATCAATTTAGAAATTTAATATGTAAGTACTTAAAGAAAATATACAGGAACAAAACTCAATGTATGGCTATGCAGAGTAATTCGGACTAAATTTTTAATTTGTTAATTTTTTCAAAATTTTCATTTCTTGAAATATGAATCACAAAGTAAAGGTTTCATGTATATTAAGACATCATGTTGCAAATATTATGTGTTTAAGCTCATAAATTATTTCAAATTAATGAATGCCTTGAAATAAATAAATTCAAAAACATGTACAAAAACCACTTCAGTCATCATATCTCAATAATTGGATCATTGACCTCATATAATATTGATACGATGAGAATGAGGGTAACAAAAGTAACCTGAGGCTATAAATAATTTAGAGTTCTTATCAGTCAGATTTTTGCAATATTTGATAAAAAAAAAAAAATAGGGAAAAAATATGAATATGACAGAATAAATATTTCATTATTTAGAGAGTTTTGTTGCTTGTAATATTTTGTGAGTGAAGAAGAAAAATGGTCATAGTGTGAAAAATTGAGGTATTTCCCGAAAAATACTGAGGGGCCCCTAGCATGAAAACGAGGCCATTGACCTAGTTATTTGAAATTGAAATTGAACACAAGAATCATCGGTGTACAAAGTGAAATAGGTGGTTTTTCGTTCTTATCAGTGGAATTTTTAGTCATCTGAGTAAAGGTATACCTTAATACTTAAAATGAACATTTTATAGGGTGTAGAACTGATGATCAACCTCCTGGCCCTTGTTATGTAGTTGCTAAAAACTGGAATATTGATAAAAAGTTGAACTACCAAAAATATGTTGAAAAAAGGGTGATTGTAGTTCAAGTCCTTGAAAATGATATAAAAAAACTGTGCAGTTAAAGATGCTAATTTGGAATTTATTGATAATATTGTAGATGGGTTGGTGGAATCTTTGTAGAAAGTGCTAAAGTACTTGGCACAAAACAAATTTATACAAACTGTAACAAAAAAAAAATCAAAAATTGTAAAGTTAATAAACCTTGGTTTACGGCTGATTGTAAATGTGCCAGGCAAAACTATAGAAAAGCAGAGATTGTATATAAAAAAATTGGTGGTTCTATTTTCAGAACAAACTTGTATGAAAAAGAAAAATTGTATAATCAGAAACTAAAGCTTACAAATAGTAAACATAGAACAGAAATGAAAAAGAAACCAAGATACCTAGGTACTTCAAACCCTAAAGAATATTGGAAAATTTTAAATACAAATATAAACAAGCAAAGATGTATGACTGACCTAAACGAACTTTATAATTTTTATAAAGACTGTAGCAATATGCAATTTAATGAATCAAACGAGAACTATGTTTTGAATAAGGAAGATCTCCTTCTTGTATCTGATATGCAGTTGAATCACTATATTTATCAACCAATCATTGAGCCGACCCTGTCGGGCCATGAGACGCATACAAATACTGGTACCGGACAAGAATCAGAGTTACCCGATGCAGGTATAACCACATGTGTAGCCAGTGCGGAGGAAAACACCCTCAAGTTAAGTGCCTGATTTTGACCTCTTGGGGTTCAAATTTCAAGGTCAATATTATTTCGACAAAATGCTACCCTTTGGGTCTTCCATAAGTTGTTCATTGTGGGAGAAATTTGCATCATTCTTACATTGGCTTACAAAACAACATTCGGGCAATGCTCCTATTATTCACTACCTTGATGATTTTCTTTTTGTGGCCCCAAGTCTTCCGCGGTTTGCGCAAATACATTGCATCATTTTAGAACCCTCTGCTCAGATTTAGGCATACCGATAGCTGAGGACAAGACTGTAGAACCAACCAATGACTTAGTTTTCCTAGGCATCAGATTTAACACTTGCAACATGACCATGTCACTACCTACAGATAAGATTAATAAATTACAAGAAAACATCAATACAGTGTTGCAGGCCAAAAAGGTCACACTTAAACAAATGCAGTCACTATTGGGACTTCTAAACTTTGCTTGCAGAGTGGTAGCGCCAGGTCGAGCATTCTGCAGACGCCTCATTAATTCTACCCTTGGCATCAAAAAACAACACCACAAAATCAGAATAACACAAAACATCAAACTTGACCTAATCGTATGGACAACTTTTTTGAAAGACTTCAATGGAGTATCAGTTATTAACACCCCTTTGGTTGACAGTCACACCGTTCAATTGTTCACAGACAGTGCTGGGGGAGAGCGGGGTGGATTTGGGATATATTTTGGTGGCAAGTGGGCTGGGGGTCAATGGCCACAACACTGGGGTTCAGTGGGCATTCTTAGAGACATGACATTTTTGGAACTGTTCCCTGTACTGGTGGCTCTTACACTTTATAACAAAGACCTACAAAACACTAGACTTCTTTTTCACATTGACAACATGTCAGTGGTACACATTATTAACAACTCTACCAGCAAATCAGATAGAGTTATGAACATTGTACGCAAACTGGTACTCATTACACTGCAATACAACATACAAATTAAAGCTTCAAAGATCCCTACTAAAGCAAACTCAATCGCTGATGCAATATCTCGTTCACAGTGGGCCCGGTTCCGACACCTCGCACCAGAAGCAGATTTCTTCCCCACACCGGTTCCAAACAATGTATGGGATATCTAGAAGAAAAGGCATCAAGGCTTTTACATGACTCTCTATCAGCCAACACACAAAAAGCATACAACACAGCACCTGAGCATTTTCAAGGATTTCGTACACAATATGGGTTAGATCAATCTTGGCCAGTCTCGGTAGATCAACTTTTACACTACATAGCCTTTTTGTCCCTCCATAAGTATTCATACCGAACAGTATGTTTGTACTTAAGTGCCATTTCTCATCATCACAAAATCAACAGTCACAACGACACAACTAAAGTATATGTAGTATCAAAAACACTGGAAGGCCTACGTCGATCAGCCGGAGTAAACAAAGATTTACGAATTCCCATCTCCCTAAACATTTTCATAAAAATTATTCAGACCCTTCCGGCTGTGTGTTGATCTCCTTATGAAGCTTCACTTTTTGCTGCATCCTTCTGTTTAGCTTATTTTGGTTTATTGAGAGTAAGCGAAGTTCTGTCCATTCAGCTATCGGATTTACATTTTGTTTTAAAAGATCATCTCACAGTTAAAATACAAAAGTCTAAAACTGATCAGATAGATCTCTCGACTTTGGTCAAATTAACCAATCAACCTGACTATAAGATCCGCCCTGTTAATCAGATCAGAGAATATATCAAATCTAGGTCAAGCAACTGCAACTTGCTGCTTGTGCATGTGAATAACAAACCCATTACACGTTTTCAATTTCAATCAGTTTTGCAAAAAGCACTCAATTTCTTGCAGGTCCCGGGTCATTATAGGTCACATAGCTTTCTCATAGGTATGGCCACCGAATTGGCAAAACAAGGGGTATCAATCAACCAGATCAAAGCACAAGGGAGATGGAATTCAAATGCTTATCAAACCTACATTCGTACAGATTTTTAAGGTCTCAGCTAGGAAGAACTTTAAAATCATTAACAATTGTAGAATTATAGTTCAGTATGTTTCAATTTTATATGCTTTAAATACTCTAAACAGTTAGTCCCTTTCTAATTTCAACAAAGCTTTCCAGGTGTGTCCATCTGGATAATTGGATCCTCAATACCATATTGGGCAGGAGTAGCAGCAGAACATAGGCCTGGGGGTACTAATTTGAACTTGCCAGCTTCAATAACTTGGAATGGTGTAAGGGGACTTCAGTGGCATCAGGTTGAACAAACCATAGCAACTATGTCTGTTAAATTTTCTCCCCCTGATTGGTTAATTTTTCATGTCGGATCAAATGATCTGACTTCTGGTGACATTACCTCAAAATCTTTCTCACATATGGCACAATGCACATTATACAGATACAATGCACTGTGGCCTAACACTAAGCTAGTCTGGTCATGTTTACTCCCAAGGCGTTATTGGCATTATGCACCTCTTGGGGAGGGGTCAAAAATCAATAAGAAAAGGGTCAGAATAAACAAGCTAATGAAAAAATTTATGGTTAAGGAAGTACAGGGATGTGTTATTGAACATGATCATAATATCAAAGCAACAGAAATTGACCTCTACCGTACTGATGGCACACCCTTATCTAATGTAGGCAACCAAATATTTTTGAATAATCTTCAAGCAGCAATGCAGTTTTTCTTGCAGAACAACCAAAGAATTTTTCCTGCCACAAGCCAAGAGCAGAGATTTTCTTTCCCTATGTGCAAACAGTAATAAACACATGGACTGTTAGAGCATAGACATTTATATTCACCGCTAAATAATTTACTTTTTATGTTAAATACAGAACATTATTATAATTTTGTGGGGGACATTGTTAATGTCTGTGGCGGGACTGGGGAGTGCGTTGCGGTAGCTGATCACTAATTCTGCTCCAAAACCTGTTGTCTCCTCCTACTAAAGCAGGGGGCATATGTTATGTTTACTATCAAGTTGGTTAAAAAAGTTAGTAACAAAAGGCAGTACTTAAAGGTTAATTGTAATAGAGAGGCTCACAGCTAGTCCATTGCTGGTGCCTCATCCACCTCCCTACCTAGGGAGGGGATGCTACAGGCTGGGGCATGTTCTTTGGGGGGCAACCGTAGGGCAGTCTACTGGGTCCTCCCTTTCATGCATCATACCAGGTAGCTCTCAGGAGACGGGCGAGAAGGGCAGGCATCACTACCCTCCTCAGAACGCGGTGACTCGTTCAGGCTCTGAGCACCTATGTTCACATAGGGCTCCCGGTGGGTCCCCTACATTGGGTAGTTAAATTGGAACACTGGCCGCCTCCCCAGTTCCCCACAAAATTTTTGTATGCGACCTTTTCCACCATATTTTGATTTATTGTTTGTTTTCTTTGTCTGCATATTAAAAGTTATAAATGTGCAAGTTTCCTTATGTTGTGAATTCTGCCAACAGGCAGCTCCAGGGAGTCATAGTGTACTATCTCAATTGATACAGTTTTGTATTTTACAGTAATTGTTTGGTGGTTTAAAGACAGTAACTATCTGAGTAATGTATATTTTGAAAAGATTGAACAGTTAATGTATCAATTACGGTATAGTACAAGATAATGGTAAATCCAAGCACAGGGAATAAAACAAGTTTCAAGCATGGTCAAGGCTTCATATCTAAGCGCACTGTAGTCAGCTAGTAATTCAATTTAAAAAAGTAGCCAAGTCTATAATTAATATGCAATTCAATGAATCAAACGAGAACTATGTTTTGAATAAGGAAGAACTCCTTCTTGTATCTGATATGCAGTTGAATCACTATATTTATCATCCAATCACACATGATGAAGTTCTTAAAAGTATTAAATTATTGAAAATTAATAAATCTAGTGGTGATGACAGAATTATAAATGAGTACATCAAGAGTACGTATGACTGTTTACTAAACTTGTATGTTGAGCTATTTAATAGAATATTTGATTCTGGAATAAATCCCTCACAGTGGACTAATGGCAATATAGTCCGAATATATAAATATAAAGGTGATAAATCTGATCCTAAAAACTACAGACCAATTACACAAATAAGTTGTTTGGGTAAATTGTTCACTTCCATTATGAATGAGAGACTTAATAACTATGCTGATAGAGCTCAACTTATCTTGGAGAACCAAGCCGGTTTTCGAATGATTTTTCTATTCTGGATCATATTTTTGTCATTATACTCACTTATTTAACTGTTTAAATTATATAGAAAGCAACTATATTGTGTTTTTATAGATTTCGAGAAAGCCTTTGACTCGGTCTGGCGATTAGGTCTCTGGAATAAAATTTTATTAAACAATATAGATGGCAAATGTTTTAGAGTTATAACTAATATGTATAAGAATATTAAATCAAGAGTAGTAGTTAACGGAGTATCATCAGAAATGTTTTCCTGTACTGTTGGAGTAAGACAAGGTGAAAATGTATCACTATTTTTATTTGCATTGTATTTAAATGATCTTGAAGGTTTTCTGTTTGACAAAAATGTAACAGGTTTGAAAAATCTGTATGAGAAAATTGAAGATGAACTTCATATATATCTGCGGCTTTATGCTTTACTATATGCAGATGATACTATTCTATTATCACAATCCCCTGAAGATCTCCAGTATCAACTTGAGATGTTTGCCGAATACTGTAAAAATGGTACTTAAAGGTTAATAGTGCTAAAACAAATATTGTTCTATTTGGTAAAGGTAAAAGATGTAATAATTCAACATTAGAATTTGAAGGTGTTCCATGAGAAATTGTTGAAAATTTTAAATACCTAGATTTAAAAAATCATTAACTTTTGAGAAATACATGCTGAATTTACCTCCTAAACTTTCTATGAAATATTGAATTTTTAGAACTGGAAATGCTAAGCTTCCTATTGAAACAGGTAGATGGTATAATATTGCAAGAGAAAACAAAATTTGTCACATGTGTTTATGCAAGGAAATAGGAGATGAATTTCATTATTTATTTACATACACTGATCAATACATTAAAAATTCTAGATTAAATCTTTTGCCCAAGTATTATTATACAAATCCTAATGTTTTTAAGTTTGACCAACTATTTAATTTGAACAGCAGGGAAAAATTAATTAAGTTATGTAAATTCATTGGAACTATAATGGAGAGAGTCGGCTCTCTTGGTCTGTGACATTGTCATTTTTTTTCCAATGTTGTTGTTGTTGTTTTTTTCCCCTTTTTTCTTTGTCTCACACTCTTAAAAAAGTTTTACTTAGTAGTCATTTTTTACTTGAAATAATAAAGATAAGTAAAAGATAATTACTAAGCATTTACTTAAAATTTTAAATCAATTACTAAAATATATGTCAATTACTAAATTCAAATGTTTTACTTGATTTTTTTATTTTAAAGAATTGTTTTACTTAAACACTTAAAGGTTTTACTTAGTAATTTATATTTACTTAAATTTGTGTATATAAGTAATAACATTACTTGGCCTTTACCACTATTTACTATATAACTAATATCTTTTTGCCCCCGTAAACGAAGTTTTTTTCGTGTCCGTCTGTCTGTCTCTTTGTCTGTCTGTCTCTCTGTTTGTCCGCAAAAAAATTAACCTTGCCCATAACTTTTGATTTAGCGGAGCTATGACTTGTATATTTCACATGTCCATTCCTTTTGACAAGACCTTTCTTTGAGTATCGCCAAATTTGAACTCTTGACCTTGGAGTTTGACCCACTTTTACAAATCCCAACCAATTCTTTAGCCATATTTTTTAACAGTAAATACCAGGACATTAATACTTCACATATATATTCTTTGATGAAAGACCTTTCATTGGATACCAACAACCATGACCATTTGACTTTTACCTTGGAGATTTCATCCTTGTGAAAAAACTTTAACCTTGGCCATTTCTTTTGAACGATAAGGGATTGGGCTTTCATAGTTACATACTAGTATATGTAATTCCTGTGAGAAGACCAGCCATTGGATACCAAGAACTTTGACCCTCTGACATTGACCTTGGAGTTTGACCCACTTATAAAAAGCAAACCTTGACTTTAACTTTAAAAGGGTTAGGGTTAGTGCATTCATACTTTACAGATTTCATCCTTGTGACAAGACAATTTTTTGGG